CGAGTAAGCCCACTGAGAAAAATCACCAATGCATTCGTCTTCTGCCCTTGATATTATCAATACTTAGAACTTTAAAAAAATCAATTGAAAAATATTAATCCACTTGCTTATTTTGGGGGCGTGCACATGGCACAGAGTGTATGTGGAGACCAAATCATGAGAGCCGATTCTCTCTGCCCACCACGTGGGCTCCAGATACTGAACTCACGTCATCGGGTTTGGTGGTAAAAGCACCCTTCCTCCCTGAGCCGCCTCACCACCAACCCGCTCTGAGTTTTGACTGGAATAAAAGAAACAAGGCTGGATGTGTGAGAGGGAGGGGGAGGGGGAGGGGAAGAGGGGAGGGGGAGGGGAGGGGAGGGGGGAGGGGAGGGGGAGGGGAGGGGAGGGGGGAGGGGGGGGAGGGGAGGGGGAGAAGGGGAGGGGGAGGGGAGGAGAGGGGAAGAAGAAGTGATGGAGAGGGGAGGGGGAGGGGGAGGAGAGGAGAGGGGAGGGGAGGAGAAGTAATGGGGAGGGGAGGAGGGGAGGAGAGGGGGAGGGGAGGAGAGGGGGAGGGGAGGAGAGGGGGAGGGGAGGAGAGGGGGAGGGGAGGAGAGGGGGAGGAGAAGTGATGGGGAGGGGAGGGGGAGGGGAGGAGAGGGGGAGGGGAGGAGAGGGGGGGAGAAGTGATGGGGAGGGGAGGAGGGGAGGGGGGAGGGGAGGGGGAGGGGAGGAGAGGGGGAGGGGAGGAGAGGGGGAGGGGAGGAGAGGGGGGAGGAGAAGTGATGGGGAGGGGAGGGGGAGGGGAGGGGAGGGAAGGGGGAGGGGGAGGGGAGGGGAGGGGAGGAGAGGGGGAGGGGAGGGGAGGAGAGGGGAGGAGAAGTGATGGGGAGGGGAGGAGGGGAGGGGGAGGAGAGGGGAGGGGAGGGGAGGGGGGGAGAGGGGAGGGGAGGAGGGAGGGGGAGCACTTTGGAGTTCTCTGTCACTCTGCACGTCCCGTCCCTCAGTCCCTGGTGCCTGACATCAACCCTGTGAGCAGCCTGCCTTTCAGCTTCCTATGCCTAATTGGAAGGAATTGATCAAGTCCCCCTTTTGCTTTTCTGATGAAATTGCTTCTAGAACTGTCTGTAGCCTTAGTGGAAGGGATCCTAAGAACCTTTCATTGCTGACTAATCCGTTATACAAATATTTATTGATGGAAATGAATGAAAACAGACAAAAACCCCCGCCCTTATGGGACTGGTGCCCTCCCTAGTTGACAAGATGAAAGGAGCAGTCAATTAACAGACAGTGTAACTCTGAGGAGGGAGGAAGCGAAGCAGAAGAGAGCATGGGAGGGGGAGGGGTTTGGTGTGGGGATGGTCAGCTGGTGAGGTAGGGCTGAAGGACCTGGACAGTTCAGCCAAGCTTTGGGGGTAAGATGAGGCAGAGAGGGGTCCTAGGCGGGGCTGAAGTTAGTGTTCTCGAGGACTAAAGAGGAGAGCTGGGGGCTAGGGTGTAATGGGGGGGTAGGAGATGAGTGGAGTGGAGGCCATACTCCCTGGGAGAGGGACTCTGTCCCGTGGGATCAGGGCATGATTGGGAATCTGGGGCAGACGCTGTCTGTAGCCCACAGCAGCAGAACGAGACAGCAAATCCTTTTCACATTCAGTAACAAAAATTCGCAGAACCATGAGCCCAGGGGAAATCAGTGAGGCCACAGCCCTCTCTTTGCTTGGTCTCCGCTGTATTTACCTCCAGGATGAGCAAAAATTTAAAGGTGCCAGGAAAAAATATTGAAGGTACCTGGAAATGAGGAGGAGAGATCACACCCCTTTGGCACATGCCATGTCTGGTCTTATCAATTAGGTGATATTTAGAACCACCTAGAAGAGACAACTCTGGGTCTGTGTGTGAGGATGTTCTAGAAATATTTAACTTAGCGAGAAGATCCACCCTAGCTGTGGGTGGCAGCAGCCAGCAGACCCGGGCCCTGAAAAGGAGAAAGCAAGCTCAACACCAGCGCTTGTCTCTCTCTGCTTCCTGTGGACAGATACAATGTGACCAGCCACCTTCTCTGCTACCACCATGGTTACTCCACCCAAGGGACTGGGCCCTTGAACTGGGAGGAAAGTAGTCAGTATACCGGGGCCCTTCTGTGACACCTCTCCCATGTCAGAGTTCATAATCTCTGTCAGCTCTTGAGACCCTGCTGATGCATCTATAGAAACATAAGGAAAGCATCCTAAAATGTAACTAATTGCTGTTCTGGGGCAGGTTATTTCAAACATTGACTTTATTGGTCTTACTGACACTGGAGCCACACGTGAGTACCTTACCAGGTCAGGGTCCTCCTGATAAAGTCTGTATGTCCTTTGAGGTGACTGTACTTCCCACAGGTTCTTTCTTAATGGAGAGTTAAATGGCATCACTGAAATGTCTCGGTCTTACATTTCTGAGAGTCGTGTGTGCCTTTCTCTTTGGAAACTTAACGCTCACATGCCTGGGGACTCAAAAGCTGCTACATCAGGTTAGGTCTGCATTCACTGGCTATTGTGGGTGTTGTGTTCACTTCTGAGTGCTTTGCCCATCCCCACAACACACACATCTGCACACAGGTTGTGATCCCACTCCACCCCCACCCCATGCTTGCTGGTGTGCTGGAAAACACAGACGACCTACACATATGTTTGAATGAATCACGGTACATTAGTGACCATTCCCCTCTCTGTGACCAAAGAAACTTCCGTGGAGAAAGGATTTATTTTGGCTCATGGTTTAAAGGAATATAGTCTGCCGTGGTGAGCAAAGGATGGTAGTGAAGAGAGCACCCGGGAAGAGGGAGGTGTACCATGGTGCTCGTCTGGCTTTCTCCTTTTATTCAGTTTGGGATCCCAGCCCATGGGATGGTGCTACCCATGTTAACCTTCTCCGGAAGTGACTTCACAGACATTCCCCAGAGGTGCGTCTCCTAGGTGATTCCAAAGCTGACCAAGTTATCAATGGAAACAGACGTGACACATGGGGACGGGATGTCTAACACATGAGGCAGTCTCCGAGCGGCAATTGTTGGGACTTAATGAGGTGGAACCCTGGGGGGGGGGGTGTGGCAGTGTATTGTGGTATCTCCTTGGGTCTTAATTTTACACTGAATTCTAACTTCTGCTCAGGTTAAAGGTTGCTCTGACCACGCCTCCCGAGGTCACCAGAAGGACTTCCTAACAGTCCCTTCTCTACCACCGAAGAAACACTGAGTATCCCAGTGGGTGATGGTGGGCGGGGTTGGGCCCGCTGAGGCATGACACAGATGGAGCCATGTTGCTTTCCATGTAGGTCCCTTTGTGTCACCCTGTCCCGGAGGCCTCAGTCAGGAGGTCTGGGAAGCTATGCTGCAGGTGGCTGTTCCTAGATCACCTCCGGATGTCTGTGTGGACTGGACCCCTTCACCCACGCCCACAGAGAATGAACACATTGGACCCTGTTCTGGATGACAGAGGCCCCCACCCCCAGTGTGTCCTCTGACTGACTGTGGCAGGGTGAGGGAAAGGTGTCGCCGGCTGTTGGGTAACTCTGTCCTCTGGACTATACATTGCCTCCTCAAGGGGTCACAGAGGCTCGTCAGGCCCATGAAACTGGAAAGAAACAAGTCGCAAAAGGCCCTTCCCCCGGCTATAAAAATGGAAAACTGCCTCCGGGTGAGAGGAGACTCTTCCTCTTCCATGGAGTTGCCTGTGGTTGTGCAGGGAGCTTGAGGGTTGCAGTTTTCATGATTGCCCCCCCCGATGTTGGGGGATGCTTTTGGGCAATGCAGCTGCCCGACTCACCCATGCTTCCGTTAAGTAACCCCGATAAATTCACCAAGGCAGGTGTGGATGGAAGCCTTACTTTGGTCTATCAGTGCCCACTCTACTTGGTTTCCCCGGGGAGAAGACATCGGCAATGTGGTACGTCAGTCAAAGTCCAAGAAAGGTCTGGGGCCGGCAGACCAGCATTCCCCAGGCATCTGCTTGGACTTGAACCCTGATTTTTTTGGGTCAGAGATATCTACCCCGCCCAACCTGTAGCACTGACCATGCCTGTTTGGGCGTGGTCACAGGTGCAGATGTGACGGGGGGGGGGGCTAAGTCTGGGGTTCTGGTCGAGTCACTGAGAGCAGCCTGTGTGTGGATCTTGGAGCAAGAACTTGCGGGTCATCAGTTTCTCGTGTAAGTGCATTCTCCCCCAAAAACCTCACTTAACCTGTGCTGAGTCTAATGAATCTTGATTCTGTGCACCCATATCTGGCACCCAACATGGGGCATGAACCCACGACCCTGAGATCAAGAGTCATGCCCTACCGACTGAGACAGGGTGAATATCTCAGTACGTCAGAATGTGTAGTTTACCATGATTCCCTACACTCCATGGTTTGAGGGATGCTGCGTAATGGAGTCCTAGGTGTATCAGCCTTCAAGTCTGGGACTCAGCAGCTGGGGTACCAGGGTCAGCCACTTCTACCTTTCAGGCGGGGCTCACCTCCTTGTCTGTAGAACACAGGCTGTGCGGCAATCACTGCCCTGTAACTTATTAAAGGTTGAGAGGACCCTAAAGAAATCTTGGGGTGGGAGAGCCTGGGAGAAGAAATCAGGGATCAGTGTAGCCAGGGCTAGACCCTGGAGCTGAGCAAAGGGCCCTTCTACAAGCCACTTGCATTGAGTGTGGAGCTCAGCTCCATGCTCTGAACTCATGTCCCAAGCCCTTGCCTGCACCATCTACTGCACATTCCCCTGTGGGCACCATGCACCACGCTCCCTCCTTGTACACCTGGGGACCCTCGTGGGACATGATGAATGAGGGGCAGAGGGAAATCTCTTTAATAGCATAGCAACATTAGGTCTGGGATACACGGGAGAAAACACTGTCTTCCAAGCACAGCCGCGCCGAGGTGTGTGGCTACACTGCACACTCTTGACAGACAGATTTAACATCGGAAACTTAATAAATAGACACTCCAAATGTCAAACAGCAGAGGCCAGGGGTTGTCTGTGTGATGGTTCCCTCACTCCGCCTCCTCCAGGCAGGGCTGCGAAGCTGGGTCCACTAGGACGGGTATTCGTAGTCCTCAGCGCTGCGCCGGCCAAAATCCATCCAGCCCATGTAGTCCCGGTCACTTATCCTGTGGCTGGGGTCCAGGCTCTGCAGGGACTTAAGAACAGACATGCGGCCGGAAGGAGCTGTAGGTAGAAAAGAGGAAGGAGACAAGGGCTGTAGTCAGCGGGAGAAAGCCAGGGTGTGTGTGCGTGTACATGTGCATGTGTGTGTATCTGTGTGTGTTCAGTGTACATACATGTACATACACATGCATATGGACACCTGTGTCTTCCTCGATCTCTTTTCCATCTCAACGGAACCCTTTGCTGTACCTGGAGCTCACTGGCTGTGCTAGACCGGCTGGCCAGCAAGCCCCAGGGATCCTGTGTCTGCCTCCCTGGCCCTGGGGTTGTGGGCTTACTGCACACCAACTTTTCCCCGTGGGGTCTTGGGGATTGAACTGGGGTCTTTGTGCTTGTGCAATAAGCCCTTTACTGTCACAGCCACCTCACCAGGCCTTCTTACAGGTATCAAACAGCTGCTGCCAAGCCAAAACAAACAGAAGAGGAAGAGCTGCTGTGGAAATATTTAGATGGGTTCACTTCTCCTTGCCTTGCTCAGCCTGGGAGTTGCCTGTGGTTTCCTACCCAAAACAGCAATTCATAGTGCATGTAACCCGCACCAGAAACCACACAGAGATCTTCCCAGCACTCACTGTTTCTAGGTGTCGTGACTTATCACCCCAGCATGCTTAGCTCATCAGGGAGCTTTCCGGGACACCGTGATGCACAGATAAGTTTTTTAGAAATAGAATCAAGGCACGAGGGAGATGGATGGCTCAGCAGGTAAGAGCTCTTGCTGCATAAACCTGACAGCCTAAGTTCAGATTCCTGGAATCCATGCTAGACATACTGATGCTTGTCCTAGACTGAGATGGGAGGCAGAGACAGGAAAATCCCCCCAGAAGCTCGCGGACCAGGGAGCCTAGAGTACAAAGGGCATTGACAAACAATAAAAAGGACCCTGCCTAAAACTAGGTAGGGGGTAAGGACCAACCAACCGACCAACCGCACACACGCATGTGCGCGTGCGCACACACACAAATAAATAACGGTTCCTTTTAGAATGAGAGCCAGTCGAGCTCAGTGGGTAAAGATGCTTATTGCCGAGCTTGACAATGGGAGTTTGAGCCCCTGAACCCACACAGTGGAAGAGAGAGCAGATTCCTATGTGTTGTCCTCTGAACTCCACAAGACCACCACGGCATGCCTCCTCATAAATAAATGTTTAAAAAAATGCAAGTTCTCTTTCTGCAAGAATATTGTTTACAAATTATTATTTTGAAAGCTACAGCCTGTCAGATTGGAACACCAGCAGCTTGGCAACATCCAAAGAAACTGAATGAAAAGTCACAGAAGATGAAGCTTAAATCAGCCTTTTTTGACCAAAATACAATGATGGAAACTGCATGAGGTCCAGCCCGTGGCAGCTGTGTGATCTGGGCAAGGAGGGGCGTGGTGACATGATTCCTTCCTCTTCGGGCAGATACATGGTCCCAGCCCGCAGATGGTTGGCAATGGCGTCCTGGACATGTAACCAGTGTAGAGCCTTCTGTGCTGGCTGGCTAAGGGCAAAGGGAGGCCCTGGGACCCTCTCAATGGCTCCCACTGCCTGGGACCAGTGATCCCACCTTTGGGAAGTTTACAGGTGGCTTCCCTGTTCCCTGTCAGCTCTTGGCCCCCAGGCTAGCACAGCCAGAGTAGGATGCTTGGCTCCAGTAAGCAACCCTAAGGGTCGCTGGGGGGGGGACATCGGAGTAGAAGAGGGGTTTGTTGGGAAGAGAATGGGGAGGGGGAGGGGGACAAGTGAGGGCCGCAGGGTGGATGTGATGAGGATGTGCTGTAGATGCACTAAATGCCATAGTGAAACTCACCACTACGGCGTAACTAATACATATTAATAAAGCGTTTAAAGGACCCCACAGAAGCAGCTACCCTTACTTACTGCACAGTGAATTTACCCAGTGAAACCTAAAACTGAAACCACCACAAGAACTAGCAACCCACGTCTCCTCTCCCTGACCCCACGCCTTCCCAGTCTGGGGACCCAGGGTCCACTCCCTGCTTTCTATGGGTAGGACAGGCCGTGCTGCTTAACTGCTCAGTATCACTCAGGTAAAAAACAAAACACACACACACACACACACACACACACACACACAGTCAGTAACACTTGCAGCCCAGCCCCCTGTACAGTCACGTGGAAACTCAGTCCGTCCTCTGGCCCACTTTGGGACTGGTGTCCACTGTGAGGGCTGAGCACAATCCATGCTTCCGTCAAGGCAGCTTTCTGGTCACTGGCTGGACATTTCAGTCATGGGAGCTGTGTTTGGGACATGCCTGGGCTCTCACAGATCCTTCGCAGATCTGTCATCAGGTGTGGCCGCCTTCTCATGCTGCATGCGTCCCCAGCACTACGAAGTGGAGGGGCTTAGTTCAGAAACAAAGGGATCTGACTCCTGTTACAGGTGAGCTGGGGAAGCTGCACAGCCTCCAGGCCTTGGGGGAAGTCACACCTGTACAGATTCTCTCTGCTGCGTCCTAGATGCGCCAGCATGTGCGCAGGTGTTACTTGCTTTCTTTAGCACAGGCTTCCATAAGTGAAAAACATGAGTGAGATGTACTGTGAAAAATGGTTTTAAGGCTCGAGAGCGATGCACGGAGATAGTATTGGATGCTTAGTGCTATTGATGCCTCCCACAGGACACACTTCCCCCTGGACCACTGACTGCTGCCCCCCCCCCACCTCCCACAGGAATGAATACGCTTCCTCCTGGACCACCAACGGCTCTGCAGGCAAGCCCTAAAGATAAACTTGGTTTTATTTTATATTTTAGTTTTTCTTTTTAAATACAAGATCTCTTGAAGCCCAAGCTGGCCTCAAACTTACTGCACAGCAGAGGCTGGCCTTGAACTCATCCGCCCACAGACACCTCCCGATGCTAGGATTACAAGTTTGCAGCATCACGCCTACCTGGTATCATGTGGTGCTGGAGTTGAACTCGGGATTTTGTGCATCCTAGGCCAGTCTCCCAATTAAAACCAAGCCCCAATCACTCAACAAGTATCTTGTCTAAAATCTTTAAGAGTAATATGCTTTAGAGTTGAATAAAAAAGAATTTATAAAATATTAAAATAAATCATACAGTATTGACAATATTGATTCTGAGTTTATTTTTGTGAAATAAGTGAGCATCACTCTTCTATACTTAGCCCCTGATCCTGGGTGTGAGCAAACAAACTCTTTCTGGGCTGGGTGTGTCCAACAGGCTGAGGGGAGACGGGGGCTGAGGAGACAGCTCAGCTTGGAGTGGCTTCCAGCTAAGACCTCTGCTGGGAAAATCACTGGCACATGCTGGTTCTAGGAAATAATTCTGCAACCAGGCTTTCTGTTGCTAGAACTGCTTAGGATATTCCTAAACTCAGGCGAAAAGGTTGGAGACTGACAGCTCAGTGAGACATCTAGAAACGTCTAGAATACTTCAAAAGGGTCTGCTGGCTGCCCACACCAGAGGGCAAATCCTATTTGAGTGACAGACAATCAATAAGAAGGAATGGGGAGGGGCATCCCAGCTTCCCAGATTTTCTCATTACCTGGTGTGTGTGTGTGTGTGTGTGTGTGTGTGTGTGTGTGTGTTCCCGAACAGGAAGAAGCATAAGAATCTCTGAATTCCCCTGAAGTCCCCTGGTCTCATCTTCATGTGGGACTCTAGGATACTCAACCAAGCTCCCTGGTTTCCCCTCACTAGTCAAGCCCACTGCCCTGGGCTGCTCAGAGCAAACACTACATGGAGTAAGTGAGCTCCACAGAACGGATGACCACCTCCCGAATTTTAACCCAACTCTACTGGTCCAGCTTAACACACCCCAGCCAGAAGTCACCATCCATCCATGTCCATGCCAATAAAGTTAGAGATGAAAGCTGTCTGGGTGGCAGCCATGGCTCCAGAGCTGGAAGGGGATCTGGGCCTCTCTGAAGATGAGAGATTCGGTACAGGAGAGGAACCCTCAACTGGCAAGCTGCTGAATAGCCCACGGGATTCTTGTGGGAAAGCCTCCCAATGCTAAGAAGGGCCCTGAGGCCGTCGGCATGGCGGCCACCTTTCTGACAGCTACAGATACAGCTTTCCCTGTGTGGCCATCCAGACTGGGCAGCCAAGGGAACTCCTACTGCTCCTGGCCCTTCGACCCTTTCCTCCTGTTCCCACTGGGGGACATGTACACAGTGCCAACTACGTGTCTCAAGTCTCAGGCTTTCGCAGCCGACCTACTTCCCGCCAGAGGGGTCCGGAGGGTCAGTGTCTGGGTGGTCCCCAAGCCTGTTGCAGATACAGCAGAGAGGATAGGACGGATCTGGGGAGTCTTTCCAGCACTCGATTTTTTAAAATTGTGTTTTCCTAAAGCGGTGTTGGATTTCAGCCCTAACACAGCGCCAAAGTCAGTGCCCAGAAGGGTTAGCCTCCTCTTACCCACGAGATTAGCCCTCCACCCATCTCGCCTCTTAGGTGCTGTGAACACCATCTGCCAAAGCCACAGTGTGGTGCAGAGTACCTCAGGGAGGGAAAATCTCCTCCTGTGTTCCCCTTTCCTCCTCCCTGCAGGTGCTTTGGAGATCAGGATTGGGAACCCTGAGCCGCTGCCGCCGCCGCCGCCGCCGCCGCCACCGCAGCCGGCTCAGCGTGAGCGAGAGCTGGCATCCTTACCTTTGCGTGCCTGCTGCATGTAGCGCGCTAGCAGTGCGCCCAGGCGCGCACGGGGCTCGCCATCGGTCCTGAGCACGGCCCTCAGCTGCCTTCGGGGAGCCTCCTCTGCCCGCTGCACCGCCGAGTCCGCTGCTTCTGCCGGTGCCACTGGCTGCGTCAGGGCGCCTGCGGCCAGGACTGCCATCAGGACGCACAGACATACGCCGCTCTTCATGGCTGTGGGGAGCGAGCAGGGGCGAAGATCGTGAACCAAAGGCTGACCTCGGCGGGCTGCAGCCCAAAGTCCCGCACAAGAAGTCCACCGAGGTCGGGGGGGGGGGGCGGGGGAGCACTGTAGCCGCTAGGCTGGCTCATGCCCTAAAGCTAGTCAAGCCCAGTCCCTGGCTGCTCCTGGGCCACCGTGCGCCTAGGTGACATTTCTGCCTAGCTTTTGTGTTACCCACACCCAGGGCCCGGGAATCCGCAGAGACCCCATTTTCTGCCCGGTTCAGAAGCAGTGCTTCCGGCTTTCCTGAAGTTAGAAGACACCTATGTAGCTCATCTCTCTTCTAACCAGAAAACACAGAATGAGTGGGTGAGTGTGTGTGTATCACACACACACACACTCACACACACACACACTCACTCACACACACACACACACACACACGTGCGCAGGGGGGTGGGGTGGAAGGGTACTCCTGGAGAGAAATGCGGGGATTAAAAGATGTCTCTACAGAAATGAAGGGGACGACAATGGGAAGGAAATACTGTTTAAAGTGTGGGCGCATAAATACTAGCCGTATTTAAAAGGGGCTCCTCAGCGGGGGGTTTTTTTTTGGGGGGGGAACAAACAAGAAGTCACTATGCAAAACAAAACCCAGAAATCTGCGCCTAGTCCTGAGTTGTGGCCAAAGTCCCACCGCTACATTTGCCAACTGACCTGATGGGACCTGCATCTTAACCATGCATTTCTAGCCCCAAAACCTTAATTTTTTTCTGCAGCATTTAGAAAATGAGTATGTCTTAAAAAACCTCTTGGTATTTCCTTGTAAATGATTGCAAAGTGAACTGAACATCGCGGGAACCCTAAGAAATGGCTATCCCAGGCTTGCCACGAAGAGGGTACACGGAGGGACAAGTCTCATGCGATGGTACCCACCCAGACGCATCCTAAGATCCAGCGCCGTTATTTCTGACTTCAGGAAATCTTCCCAGCTGTCAAAGGAGGGAAGGCACAGAAAAACAGAAAGACGGTACAGCAAGGGCGCAAAGCTAAGGGCCACACTCATGATTCTTGGATGGGCCAGCGGAGACTTACCTTCGAGGGGAATCAGCCGGCTTGGCGGTTTCCAGCAGAGCAGGCTGCAGTCCAGCCAAGTTCAGGGCAGACAGGAGGGCGGCTGCCTCTTAAATAGCCCCGCCCGGCGCGCAGCCAGTCATCTGTTTACCCAGTGGTGACGCAGTCCGGCAGGACGCGTGCTCAGAAGGCGGCCACTGGCACGACCACCGATTGAAGTGGCCCGGGAGAGAAGGGAAACGGCCCACTGAACGAGGACAGCCCCTCCCAGGCGGGGTACCTCGTATGGCATCTCCTCTTTTTCTAGAGAGCTTCCTTGCCACCAGTCCAGAGCCAACCCAGCCTTCCCAGGCACGGTGTCCCCTCCTGGGTGGGAAACAGTTTACCTGGAATGGAGAAGCTGACCATGTTCAGCGAGCTTTGGGGGTCAAGTGGTCCTTCAAGGAAACTGGGAGACCTTCACAGGCTGGGTGTCAGCAAATGTGATTCTGGTGTGTTTTCTGGAACCACCTTCGGACCTGAGTGGGCTCCCACGCGTGAGAGAGGAGAGTCGGGCTATCAGTTTCTCAGATCCCAATCTTAGTTGGCGTCCTGGGTCTGTTTATACACGACTGTAAAAATCTGGGTGCATCGCCTGACTTTGCGCGCGGGGGAGGGGGGACCCATTGGGAAAAGGGCTGCGATTTCTGCCTAGGACGACTTTCTCACCTGCCCACATCCACATCCTGGTCGCCAAGTGGCGCCAGAGAGTGTCTTAGGCACCCCCAAGCTCTGGCTGGCTGAGCCATGCTGGCTTTCCAGGAGTTCGTGATAGCCCTTTCCAGGCTGTCCCTCTAGAATTTCAGGCAGCTCATCTGTGTGATGAGGATCTTGGCGAGGGAAGAGAGACGCCCGCTGGTGTACAGCGTGCATTCCCGCGATCCCCCAGCCCCCTCAGAACATAGTGATCATCTGCACCCCGGAGTGTTAGAGTTTGCTGTGTCCCACACCCAATTTCACAGAATGGAACACAGACTGGGGACCTAGGAAACCCACACCAGTACCTGCTGTTAACCTGAAACCCGAGGTTACCAGCCAGCCATGCCCAACCAACCCCGCCCTCAACCCTCCCCTTCTAGTGTGGGTCTGGAGCGAAAGGAGAAAGGTTTGGAAACACTTTGCGAATAGGAAATGTACCCAGTCCCAGAGCCCTCCGGCTGAGGAGATCATGGAAACCCAGGTGCAGGGGAGTCAGGTTCCTGGTGATGGCTCTAGCGTCCTCTGCAACCCAAAAGATTAAACGCTGTGGGATGATCTTCCCCACAAGGCAGCTCAGGTTGGAGAAATTAGCTCTATCTGGGGTGAGAACTAAGGTCTGGGGGATGGGGTGGGGGTGGAGTCTGGGGGGTGCTGGAGTGTGGCCCTAGCCAAGGAAGGAGGTGTTCTCCCAGGGCAAAGGAGGTCTAGACAGGTGTATCCCCGGAGCTCATTGACCAGCTAGTCTAGCCAGTTGATGAGTTCTAGGTTTAGTGAGAATCTGTCTTCTAAAATTCAAGGTGGAACACGATGCAGGAGACACCTGATGTGAACCTCTGGCCTGCACGTCTGTATACAGGAATTCTCACACATGCAAACACATACACCACCTGTGACATGCACACCTGAGCAAACAGCTTTGAAGGAGTCTGGAGTGAAGGTCGAGGTAGACAATCTGAGGGGAAAAAAAGTTCTTATCGGGTCAGGGAAGGACTGAGCTAAGGGTTCTTGGTGAGTCTGGTGGTGACACGGAGGGATCCTAGAGATGGGCGACCAGGACAGGTTAGGAGGACAGGAGGAATGAAGACAGATTTGTATTTAGTTTCACATATCTTTGTGAAATGTATTGGCTGCCATGAAATGCAGCAGACCCTATACAAGTGCTAAGTGCCTATGACCGAACACTCAGATCATTAGAACAGTGTCCTCTCCGTTCCCATCCCCCCTAGGACTCCTCAGTAGGCACCCAGGATTCCTGTCCCCTGCGGAGGACTGACTCCATCATGTCCAGATGTTAGTTTGACAGGCAGCAGTGGAGAGAAGTAATCTACAGCTGTTGACTGATTTGGGATTCTAGAGTTTTTTTTCTTTCTTTCTTTCTGGTTTTGGTGATTAAAAATGTTGATTGGCAAGCTGGAGAGGCAGCCCAGCAGTTAAAGGCCCTTGTTGCTCCTGCAGAGAACACAGGTTTGCTTCCTAGCATCCACATGGGAGCTGTCAACCACCTGCCTGCCACTCCAGTTACAGGGTGTCTGGCACCTTCTGACTTCCCAGGGACTGCACATCTATGGAATGCATACATACATGCAGGCTAAACACCTGTACCTGTAAAATAAACAAACCTAAGAATAAAAGCTGTTACATTAAATGATATCTCATCCAGACCCAGGGAGACATTTCAAAGTGGTGAAAAAAAATATGTGACCTTTTCAACAAAGGACATTTACAGTCATGAGAAGCATCTCAGTGGCACAGGTCCATTCAATAGTGTAGAAAGCTTTGCAAGATATCTGGGGACAAGCAGGGGACTGGTTCATTATTCATTAGATTTCTACTTGTCACAGTTCATCCCTGTTTAATGGAGGTCAAAAGAGACTGTCCATTGCCACCAGAAAGGTGTGGGTTTGACACTACTGTTGTAGGTCTCAGGGCTTTTTTCTCCTGGACATAATTTAGAAATGCCATTTGTTGTATGGCTTCAAACCTGGGACATAAAATGTCTGTTTACTGTAGCTGTACTTTCTTGGCTGGACTGGCAGCCCACAAATAACAATGTGGAGAATTATTATTAATTACATAAGCTCAGCCTTAGTTTAGGCTTTTCCCCAACTAGCTCTTATAACTTAATTAACCCACACAGTTTAAATCTACCTCTGCCATGTGGCTTGATTGCCTCTCAGTATAGTGCGTCCAACCTACTGTGAGTCTGCTGGTGAAACCCAAGTGCTTATCCCTCCTCCTCTTCCTGTCTCTCCCTGGAAATCCCGCCTATCCTCTCCTGCATAGCTATTGGACGTTCAGCTTTTTATTACACCAATCACAGCAACGCATCTTCACACAGTGTACAAATATCCCACAACAGTTTACTACATGGGTCTTCCAACTCCTGTCTTCTAGATGGAAAGAATTGAGCTGAGAGACAGAGACAGTGAAAGAAGTTTATTTAGTGAAGCTGAACAAAGTGTTCAACAAGAGATTGGACTTATGAGTTCAAGGCCAGCCTGGTCTATAAAGTAAGTTCCAGGACAGTCAGGGCTGTTACACAGAGAGACCTTGTCTCAAAAAAAAGGAGAGAGAGACAGAGACAGAGAGACAGAGAGGGAAGGGGAGAGAGACACACACAAACACACACAGAGAGAGAGAGAGACAGAGACAGAGAGAGAGAAAGAGAGAGAGAGATTGGACTGGGCTGCCCCAAGAGTGGATAGGGCACAGTAACTTGTTCACTGTGGGTTTTAAGATGCTTTAGTGAATATTTATAAATGTATGATGTGGGTGGCATATGTATGGGGGGGTGAATGATCTCTCTTCTCTCCTAAACCTTGGTAAACAAGATCTGTTTTGTAGGGTACCTCTTTTCAGGATTTGCTAGAAAATCCTGCAAGGAATGGGGTCTAAACCACAATGCAAATGATATTATAATGAGGATGGTGACCTCAGGGGAGCACCTGGGCCTCACTTCCTGATGGGGCAGTCACAACTTAATTAATTGCAGCTTTAAGGGTGTTTGATGAAGGGGTGATCTGACCACTGGAAGAGACCAGTGTTGACCCAGAGCTGCCCTTGGCCTTGGTTACTCACACCCAACCCTGCCTGAGTAACTCACTCACCCCAAATAAGGCAGATGCAGACAGACCACTGAAAGACTCTGACCAGTCCAGTTTGGCCAAACTAAAGAGTTTATTGGGTTTACTGGGAGGGTGGGTGTCTCAGGATGTTATCATGACCCTGCTCAGCAGGCTCCTGTTTTACCCTGAACTACATACACAGCTGAGTTAATGCAAACCTGAGTCCAGAAAGTCGCCTGGTGTCATGGTGCTAGATGTGGCCACAGGCTCACACAACCTGGACACAGATGATGCCCTGCTCGGAGACAGTTACGCTTGGGACACTCAGCTGGAAATCGAATCTAGGTCCTCTGCAAGAGCAGCCAGTGAGTGCTCTTGACAGCTGGGCCATGGCTCCAGCCCAACCAAGGTGGTCTATTCTAAAAGGCACAGGCCACATTAGCAACACCTATGACCTAATTACTTCCAGAGTGACCACTGTGAGCGCACCAGTTGGGAGGGAATTTCAGAAGAGCAAGGGCGGTTCCTAACACAGGGAAAACACGCACAGATGAGAAGAGGGTGCAGCCTTTCACGCCAGCTGTGCTGGTGTATACCCAGACACCCAGCATTTGGGAGGAGGAGGCAGAAGGATCAGGAATTCAAGGTCATCCCTGGCTACATGGCAAATTTGTGGCCATTCTGGGCTACACGAGACCCTATCTCAAGACTATCAACCAGGCAAATAAAGAAACAAATAAAAATAGCAAAAGAAACCATTTTAGCGTTTCCCTGGGGTTTCTTTCTGTGAGGGTGGTGGACCTGAGGAATCCTAAATCTGGGGAAGACTTTGAAAAGGATCCAATTCATTCGAGAGATAATGAGAGAGAAAACAGCAGGAGGACGCTGTGGACGAGGCCCTGGGCGGAGTGGTACCTTCCGCCGGTCCCTCTGCTGAGCTGACTGCCTATCAGAAGTTTGGCGATTGTGTCACTGGGTCCAGAGCCCTAGTCATGGCTGTTTTATCACCCACTCTGCACCTGACCTGATGTCCTTGTGACATTTGGAATGTCCTAACCTCACAGACCTCTAGCTTCCACCAGGCCAACATCGGAGGCCTGTGCAGAGCTCTGTGCTTTGCCGTGAGCTGTCGACTGGCTTTCCCACCAAGGTGTCTGAAGTAATAATGTATGGCTCCTTTGCTCTGTTACTATGAGCTGGATTTGCAT